AAACCTGGCCATGCAAACCCAATAAACATGTACAGCAATTCATGTTGCTTGGAGAAAGTTGTTAAGTATGATAGAGACTACCTATTTTACAAAAGAGTTTGTATTTTTTATCTCCTCTGCAAACAGGACATTATCTACAGTGTTTGTTCCCTGTTGACACCCAAAGATATGCAGATTGCTGAGACCTTTGGATTTCTCAAGGTCAAATCAAACTGAAGGCAATCATTCCTCATCCAGCTTAGCCGAGCCAAGTTGCTTGCTTTGGCACTGCTGCCGCATCCTAAAAAAGCAGATTTTTCTTGCTTGTGGGCAGGTGGTTAGAATACCATATAGAGCTCATTTTTGACTGTCAAGATTGAAATTATTTCTCAGCCAAGGATAGCTATAAGTACATCTGTTAGCTATTAAATTGTGGAGAAAAAAAAAAACCCAAAAAACTTTGCAAAGGTTCAAAATGTACCTCATATGTAAAAAAAAGTAAATCAGAATTTCAGACCAGCTTCTGTAAAAATGTCTAAAAAGATAAATGCAATTCCATTATGTTCTGAACAAGAAAATAACTGCAGCTCTGGTAGACTGTATTCTTAAGCCAATGAGACTTCAACTACAGTTTGAGCAACAACAGCATAGGTGATTATTACTGATGTGTTGAAGATGTCAGTAAAACCTGACATTATTTTTTTTCTCACACCAGTATGGTTTTTAACAGATGTTTGGATTCTATATATCAAAATCTGGGTAATTTGATGCCGTTGCCTGTAATATTGCTAAAGTAAACCATTTAAATGGGAAGAATAAGAGGTGTAAGATATTTTTTATTTTTTATTATAAGATAGTAAATTTAAGAAAGTGAAAGACTACTCTTCATTAGTAGAGGCTGTATGAAATTTAAGAGATTGTTCAGTAATTATAACTCATGCTAATGAACTAGATATGAAATTCACAAATACTAAACTAATTATTACTTACAGCAATTTTTCTCTTAAGAATTCATCCAGATATCTTCTAAATTTATTAAAAACTTCATAGGTGAGAGCTAACAGAGGTCATGGTTACAGTCAGTCAGAGAAATAAGTCTAAGGACATTAAACCAAGAAAGAAAAATAGAAGTTTGTAATGCTTTCAAAATATATTATTGACTGCAGTTCCTTAGTAGCAAAGACCTCTCAGAAGGAATTGATATAAAATTCCTGATGAGCTAGTAGTGCTTTTAAATTGGTATTTGCCTTGAGGATTTTTAGTTTTGCAGCCATTGTTGAATAGTGCTAGAAGCATTCCAAAGTATTTTTTCACTTTGAATTGTATTTATTTTTCACTGAACTATATTGTTCATTATATTTAAAACTGTTATTCATTTACATAGATCTAAACCCCCAAATGTCATAGCAGTAGTCTTATCCTTAAGAAAAAAGTGTGGAGTCAACGCTTTTCAAAAATCTTTGTGTTAGTAATTTGGCCTTGTAAGATTGCACAAAGTGATGGACAAGACTTTTATTTCAGCATGCCCAGCTAAAATGTTTAACAAAAACAATAGTAGTACAAATGTAGTAAATGTAGTTTGTACATTTAGATCAGGACCCATATTGCCACTGCAGCACACACATGTGGTCTCTTCCTTGCAATTTGGTCAGAGATTAAAATTTCTGCGGGATTCATGGAAGAGAGGGACAGTGACTAATTCTGTCTATGAATCAATTTGGATTCTCTTAGGAAAGAAAACCAAGTTTGTAATTTTTTATTTTAAAACTATCAACATAGTCTTTGCAAGAGTAATTAAAAATAATCTACCATCATGAACCAAACATGGCTTTCTAAAGCCATGTTTTTTTTGTTTGCAGCAATAGTTTATTGCCCTATTCTGGAGTAACTAAAAAATGAAATTATTTTAAAAATTAAAACAAGTATCAAGTAAAAGATGACCCAGCTCACTGTAACGTGAGCCTTTGCTGTGGTTTGTTACTAATGCATGCAGTAAAAATCTCAGATAGAAGTTTGTTTTCAATTCCAGAGTGTTCCACAGGACAGTGGTATTGCTAGAAAGGATGCAAAGTCCCCAGATAACTGCCCTATGCAAATACTACAGTAACATTTTGAACCAATTGCTTTAGGAGAATAGATTTTCTTGCCTCTCTTCTGTTCACAGGTATGTGGGCACTTATTTTTTACAATATATATTTTTTTCTTTCGAGCCTACATCTGGGCAAATTTTGATGACTTATATAACCCATACATGAAATGGCAGAAGGTTTTACATTTAACTGCTGAATTTAAAGGACTTATTAATGAAGTATCACTCCTATCTACTAAAGTAGACAATTAGAGCTGCTGCTTTTGTTTCTTTTCCATTTCTTCTTTTCTTCCCTATTCCCTTAATATGTTTATTAACATTGTAAATTTTAATTCTATTTCCTCTAAGAAAAAACTACTTGTATACAATAATCTGCTTTTTTTCAGTATGAGAATTTGTATATAATTCCTTTTTAATCACTACAAGAGACTTTAAATTTTGCATAATTGCAGAAAAATATTCCGGTTTATGATGCTTATTTCAAGAGTAGAAAAGAAATATGTATTTACCATGTCTTAGAAATAATAAAAAGAAACAATTTTAGTTATGGCATTCTGTAATCTTTCTCTTTTTGCCTTAGGCCTTAAAGAACACATCATACACCTGTGTTAAACTCTTAGATTTTCACAGAGTCTCTGAAAACCTTTGAAAGACTTAACCATGCAGACCATTTTTTCCCCTCCAATTTTGTTTCGAAGTACTTTTTGCAATACTTTTTTCCCCTTCCTCTTAGTGATTTCCCAGTCATAATAAAGGAGGAGATTATTTGGGGATAAGAGATTGTGTCAGGTCTGAAACTGAGTCACTGACTGGCCTTTGCCATATTATTTTCCTGACATTTATGAGATAAACATGCCAGCAGAATTAACTTTCAAATCCTTTCACCCTTCTGAGTGAAATCCAGTCTTGTGCATGAAGTCTGTAAGGGTACAAAACTTTATCACAATATACTCTTGTGTATTCAGGAGGATGAATGGAAGAGAAAATTAAATATTTTTTGAGCTATTGTTTGCCTTTATCACTGATGGAAGAGACCATTTAATAATTTTCTGAAGTGTCTAATCAAACAGCAGAATTAATGAACAACTCTCAACTTATACTTTAAAACATTTTACTAGTAAAATATATGATATTTTGTAAAAGAAACTATCAATGAGATGGAGCATTATGCAATCTGAAAACATAACTTTATTGTCCAAACTGTATGCCATATCTCTTGAAAAAAAATAAAAGGGTTTGCATAGTAATAAATGGTTTTTTTATCATAATTGAATTATTACAGCATACCCATTGTATGTAGGAAATCATATATTTACCAACTAGGACAGTTTTACATTTTTGTTTTGAATGGTTTAGGAATTTAGTCTTGAATAATGTGTAATATGGAGCTGTTCTAAAAAAAAAAAAAGATCAGTCTTTTTCTGTTCTGCAAATAGGCTATTATTTTTTCAGCTTTCAGTGAAAATACATGTAGAATTCCATTTGAATATAGTACTGGAATGCTCATCCTTTTAGCTGCCAAAAAATAGCTATTTGAAAAAGGATTAGTCAGATTTTGTGACTTGCAAATAAAGTAATTATTATTTTTATTTGACTAATAGAGTCAAAGTTAATAAAATGCACTTTTGAGTATTCCTTATTCATCTAATATTTCATGGCCTCCAGGGTATTGATTAGCTTGTCCTTTTAACATACTCACTCTCCCCCGCAACCAAAACAAACCTCCTCAAACCCAATATTTTTCATTTTGACTTGTGAATATCCCTGATTAGTGCTGTTGCACAGTTCAGCTGAATCTCCTGATGAAAATGGTTTTCCATCTCTATTTGAATTTTTTTTAGTCTTTGCATGTGCTCCTTCTGCCTTCTGCTCTGAGGGCATGTCTTCCAGACAGTGAAAGCCAATGAGCAGCTGGAGGCAACAAGCTAGATCAAAAGTCTATTTCTGTTGATGGGCAGATTTGTTTATTCAAAAATAAATAAGAGGTATCACTATTCATAGTCCCATCTGTAAATGCTTCATCCTCGTAATAATTCAGTGTGCATGACAGTTGCTGTCTGGGCTTAAAGCACAACAACATCACTGCATCAATGATTGCAGAGTAACAGGTCCCATCTGAAAGAAAACAGAAGTGTGTGGTAGAAGGCAGACTGGCATTGTGAAAATGACAGCTACTTGGGGAACTAAATACAGGAATTTTGCATCCTCTACACCTCAGCTTTAGTACTAATCTGTAGTTTGTCATTTTGTAATATGGGGACATGCTGCAGCAGTATAATTTTCTGTAGAGGATGGCATCAATGTCATTTTTCTTCATCACTTGGCCTTCTCTTAAAGGTTTTTTTTAAGTTTATCCTGTTTAGCCTGTCACAGCTGAATGAATCCTACCACCAGGACAGAATAATTGAAGGAATCTATGCTCTGAATCTGACAACAGTTCAGATACAACAGTATATTTTTGATGAAGAAAAACAGTCTCAAACTGTATCATTATGTGCCTGCAACATATGAATGTTCGCTGGTATTTACCTGAGATAAAATCTGACGGTTCAAAATTTTGTTACTGCAGAGGTGAAGTTAATACTTTGTTAATTATATTTATCTGAAAAGTCTCTTCCTTTCTTGTGTTGTGATTTCTGACAAAACAACGTAGTAAACAGTTGATAGTGCAACCAGCTCATACAAAAATTTGTATATATTTTGACTTGAGTAATACTATTGAAGTCCCAAGGACTTCAGTGCAGGAAGTTTAAAGCTAATGCTGAGTTGTACGCAAGGTCAAATTCCAAACCCGGGTATATGTGAATTTTTCCTAACAAAACATTGTTGGGGTTGGGGATTTTTGTTTGTGTTTTGGTTTTTGGGTATTTGGGGACTTGTTTGTTTGTTTCTAAAATCTTTTAAACTAACCATTTTTTCCAATTCTGCTTAGAACCATTGGATACAAAAAGAAGTATGTGAAAGTTCCACACGGTCATATTTGGGTGGAAGGGGATCACCATGGACACAGCTTTGACAGCAACGCTTTTGGTCCTGTAAGTCAGTTCTCTGTATGTCACACTATGCAACTGAAAAACTGTGCCAATGTGAAACACAGTGAGTATGAACTGACTGTGAGTGTAGTTTTCATAATTTTTGTGAGAATTGTTAAAATTTATAAAATATCTTGGTCAGCAGATATTGAGTTTTTTTCTTAGCTATTATAAAAAGAACAAGGACTTCTTTAAATTCCCCACATGGAAGGAGTTGTGGTAGAGATTTTAAATTTGGAGGGATATGCTGGAGTTGTAGCCAGAGGGTGAGCCAGCTCCCTGTAGCTGACAGATGCTCCCTGAGGACATTTTGCCAGCTGATACAATTTGGAATGATTCCCCCCTGGGAGCTTTGTCTTGCTTCAGTGCCAGTGCTGGGATAAAGAATTGGGGAACTGTAACCATGCTTAACAAGTGTTAACTGGTAAATTGGTCAGTGGACAAGAGTAGAAACATTTTAAAACTCTTCCCAAAGTAAATATTTAAATTTTCTTTGCATATTGAATAAAAAGACAATGTAACCCATAAAATCTGTTTCTTGATGGGTAAAAGTGTACATCTTTTCATCAGGAGGACAGTCAATTCTTTTCTTGAACTCTAGTTTGGGTTTGGTTTTGGCTTTGTCATGCTTTGTATAGATTCTTGTTCTTGTTTTAACTTAATCTAGCATGCAAGAAATAGTTGCATAAACTGTGTATCCTGTTGTGGAAATGCAAACTCTTTTAGCCCTATTCCATATTCAGGATTTTTCTCTCTTTTTAAGGGAGACTATTCCTCTAATGTTATTTAAAAACCCACTGTTTGTCACAGGGAATCTGTCAAGATTGGATTTTTTCCACCCTTATGCATTTCATGTCTATTTCATACAGAAGTCATCTCACTGACTAGTTGAATTAATGACAAGAAGGACCTTATGAGTTTATCTGGCTTCTTGAAGTTTAGCCCAATTATTAAATTAAAATTGTTCTTAGGAAATAATACAAAATAGGCCCACTGTCTAATTTGGAGTATGTAATGGTGATGCCTTCTTTTAGTTTGCCTCACTTTTTATGTGCTTGTATTTCCTGCTGTTTTTCATTATTATTTTCCTTCTACTATCTTCTAAGATTTCTAACATCTAGTTTTAGAGGTTCTTTCCAGCAGAATTAAGTCAGTCTATCCTGTGCAGGTATCTCTTTCCTCCCTTACTAAGCTTTTCTCTGTCACTCTCTGTTCCCAACATAAATCTTAGTCATAAAGCCACTAATCTTCTTTTCACTTACAAATATATTGCCAATGTAGGCTCAGAGCATAAAGCACCTTTAGCAGTTGGACATTGGTTTCAGATTTACAGCAGCTCACACAGAAATTCATACAAGGTAAAATCCTGAAGTTAGGCACCATGCAGCTTTCATGCAAGATAGAATGTTGGGGTAAATCTAAATACCCTGTTTTTTTCTCAATTCACTGATGTTTATAAATATTAGTAAATCCCCTTCACTAGTGTTTGACCTCACATTAATCATCAGTTGTTAGCTAACATCAGATAGTATATCACTTTTCTTAGAGCAATGGCACTTTTGAGAGCTAGCAGGACAGGTTTTGACAGTGAATTCTTTATCTTTCTGCAGGAAGAATGACCTTTGTGTTGCTTTGATGAATACATTATGGGCAAGTCAGCTGTAAATAGGTATTTTCCTCTCAAATTAAAATTAGAACAGGAATTGCTGAATACAAGCAGAAGGCACAGAAGAGATCACAGGGTTTGAAACTAGCTTTAGAATTCTAAAATATAGAATTTTTTCTCTGTAGAAGAAAGTGGAAAGTGCATTTAGAAGGACACACTGCACTCTAGGTTCTTTTCATTCTACAAATGTAAGATTTTATGTTACTGGGACATTTTCTATTGCTCTTCTGTACTCTGGAGATTATTTGCACAAGTGAATTAAAATATTAAAATTACTCTTTCAAGCCATTCAGAAGGTATGTATTTTTTTAAATAAATTTCTCTCCTAAGACTGCAGCAGTGGTAAGGAACAGACATGATAAAACATGGAAATGTTTTTCTCGCTCTGTTAGTATATAGGTCACTTAAGATAATAGGTTAAATGTGTGTCACATTAGGACATGTGTATCACAATTCTGACTTCCAAAATGATGTTTTCTTTGATCAAAAGATGCAGTAGAAATAGTAGGAGCTTAAGTGGACTGTGTTGTAGTCTACCATTGCTTCTACTTTCATGTGATCGTATAGTAGAAAGGTATTTGTAGTGCAGATAAACTCAGTAATGTTTTGTAGATGAACTTAATGAGTTACATGGGACATAAAAGGAAATTATAGAAAAACAGATTGAGAACAGATGTTAGAATAATTTTTTTCTCTTGGAGAATAACTCTGTGTAATGGCCTAATGGGTTAGGTTGATAAAGCATAAACCCTGATACCAATCAAGTTCTAAATTAGATGCACCTTTGGAGAGATATGAATTTCTAAATGGCAAAACTTGGCCTGATTAAATTATGTTTATTTAGTTCATAAAAATGTTATAAAATAAATTATATCTTGTTATTGCATGGTGTTACAAGACTAAAATTGGATTTTTTAAGAATAGACACATATTTTCCTGAAGTGTGTAAATAAAATGAAAATGTTTAAATTAAGATTTTTAAAAGTTTACTATTTCCTTTTGTGCTTAATTTTGTCTTTGAATAAAATTAGTACCTTAACTGATAGTAGAAGAATAACAGCGTATATATGGTTAGTGCTTAATTAGAAATGCTATTAGCTTTGTATATGATCAAAACTTAGATATTAATTACCTTTTCTTAATATGGGACTAAATTAATTAAATCATGGCTATTGTACATTGTCTTTTAAAAAATGCTTTGTGTAATGCTAAATAGCAGGTGGTACATAATACTACTGCTTTAATACTAATGTGTTTCAGGTTTGGAAATCTGTCAGCCATTCATAACAGGGAAAATAGCTGTTTTGAAGAGAAGCCAATAAACATCTAGAGAACTTGCATATTTTTACTATTATTTAAGGGGTAAAAAATTACATATTGCTGCATTTTTTTTCAGTTACCTAGACTACGATGGAGATTTCTGTTAAACTGACTGTTGCTGTTTCTAAATTCTTAGTGAAGTGGAGTTTTATAATATTGGGTTAGCATTCCTTATTTGGCATACTACAGAAATGTGATAATGAATACCTAATATAATTAAGGTACCACTTTTTAAAGTTTCTTCTTTTTGTTTTCAATTCTGGTAATTTTCCTATTTGATGGACCTTTTTATTATGGGTAGTAGTTCAGCAGCATAGGAAATATAAAAGTAATGTTCCTGGCAATGCTTCTGCTTTCTTAGATCAGAAATGCAGGGCATATTATAAAGAATTGGTGAAGTATTTGCTGCTTCAAAGTATCTGCTGCTTCAAATTTCTTAAAAATTTTAAAGGGTTAACTTTATGCCAGATCAGGTATTGTCTTTGCTTGCATAGTCGGGATAATATCAGCATAAAAGCAAAGTGACAATTTATATTCTGTGTCCAATATTCTGGCTGATTCAAGGGAAAAGTCATTATAAACTGTACTTTGTGTAGATTAAATGTTTAGAGCTGGTACCCAGCAGTGCAGAGATGGTTATCCAAACAATATGTGAGGGTATCTAAGAAACAGTTATTAATAAGTGCATGGAATAACTGATATATTCCTGGATGTACACATGTGTAATGAGAAGCTCTCTCATAATTTTAAAAGTAAAACAGGCAAATTTTATCTTATAATGCTCTTATTTATACATTTACATATTTCCAAATGCCTCCAACCTGGGGATATGAAAGACCTTTATAAAATTAGGGCTTGCAACCAATGGCAGTCTTTCAGTTGTCATGCTTAACACCTGAACAAAAGCTCATTAAAGTCAGTGAGAGCTTTCTGTTGGCTTTAATGGCTTTGGATAAAGTTCTTTATGAGTTAACCTGTACAATCCAGTGTAAGGGCAAAAAGCTATTATCCTCCTTGTCTTCCTTGGAAACTTATGACACAGGTAGGTTCAGTACATTGTCAAAAGTATCTCTTTTTGCCCATCCAGGACCCTATCGTAGCCCTTTTCCTAAAAATATATCTTTTATGTGTTTATTTTCAAAACTAAATCTTGTTGAACCTGAGCCTAAATTTTTTGTTTGACAGAAGTTTTACATTCATAAGCTTCAAATGAACTGTAAATTCATGGAATAAAATATCTGAAAAACATTTATATCTGTTTAACCACATTTTCATTTAACAGCACAAACCTGTAGACTGTGGCTAGGAATCTATAAACTAGGGTGACACTGAACAGAATATACTGGATTTATTCGTTATTTTGATTTGATTTTCAAAGGCAATCATCATCCCTTTCAGCGATAAGATAGGAATGGTTTAACTTTTAACCCTCAATGGGCAAATTCAATTACAAACAGTAGTAGAATGTGATTTTTAAATTTTTTAATGATTTTAAAATTATTTTTATTTAATGATTTTTTTAGGTTGATCTAGTATTTCTCTCTGTAACTACTGTTAGTGAATACAAGTAGTCAAAAGCAGAAAATAAGAAAATTACATTAGAGATTACATTCAATGGAAATATGATATTTCTAATAGAGTGCAGAGGTTACTGCTGGTAAAGGAACTATTTAAACCAGGATGTCTGCAGCTTGTGAGAGTACCTCTGCTTCATTTGCTCTGTTATCTTCTGAGGGAGGTTCGGTGGACAGTTGACAGAGGAAGCAGATCTCTTTCTGCAGTTTTGAATTACTTACATAACAGCCAAAAAAGAATACCACATGTCTTGAAAGTGCACATCATCTTGGTGATGATCTTGCCATCTGGAGAAACTTTCATATGTGAGCTGTAAACTAGTGCAGGGATTACATATCTCCCTGAAATGGAGCAGCCTCTAAGACAAGAGGTGGGAAGAGTTTAAGAGCTCCCAGCAGTGCACTGAACATCACTGCATTGAATCGCACAGTAAGGCACATAG